AAGCGTTGGGATGCCGGCCTTGGTCAGGTAGGTAGCTGTTCACAAGAAAGTGCGGTGTGAGCCGGGGCGTTGTCGTGGTGCAACTTCCAGTCGGCTGCGATGTCTTGTCGGACCCGACTGAGCCTTCGTTTGAGTCTCCTGAGCACTTCCACGTAAAACTTGCCGTTGACGGTTTGTCCAGGAGGAACAAATTCATCGTGATCGATGTCTTTGATGTCAAAAAAGACAATGAGCATCGTTTTCACTTTGGATTTGTTCATTCTTCCCTTTATCCTTTCCCTTTATTCAAAAATTGGGCGACACTTTCACACATGTTCAAATTTTCTTAGCACACTTCCACTCGCCGCAAGTTCTGGTCGTCAGGGAGCAGTGTCAGTCAAAGGTCTTCATCAGCGACCTCTTCCCGGCCCTCCAGAAAGGCCTGGTGCCACCTAAACACACCACTTCTTGCTAAAGCAACACCTGGGTAAGCCTGCTTGATCATATCAAACGTCTCTGTCGCAGATTTACCGAGTTTCACACAGAATTTAATCGCGTACCTCTGTTCTAATGAACGCTGCATTTTCGGCTTGCACCACTCACAGAAACACGTCGCGCGAAAATGCCTGTCCTGACTCTCCAAGTGCTCGGAGACAACTGACCAGCGACCACCCGCTCATTCGTTAGCTAGGAACGCCCTCTACCGAATCCAGTCGGAGCGCGCACGCTCCGAAGTACCGTCATGGCGGAAGAAAATGAGTCCTATTACTTTCCGAACAAATCCTGTATATAACGGAAAGACAAACCGATAGAAATCAGTTTTTCGTAATGTACGTGTCATATAACATCCGAAAAACATTACCTCGTTTTCGACATTTTCACGAGGAAGTACCTCGCTAATTGACGTGGAGCGTAAAAACATTACAATGGACTGTATCAAACTTAAAGAAACATGTGACTGCCAGACAAATTTTATTCTTACACGTAATTGCTGGAAGATATCATGTGGTTGTGTATTGGATACAATAGTTTATCTCTCACCGATAGTTGATTATGAATGAGTTTATTGACATTTTGTCTACCACGGTTGCCTTTTTTAGAAAATAGTTCAAAATGGACTGGACTGGACTGACTGCCTTTTAAAATACCCAAACTTAGTTTACCTCCAAGAATGATACTTACTCAAAATCCAAGTAGTTAGGCTAGATTTGGTCCTCTATACGTTCTACCTTGGGTGCTCCAGAAATAAAAGATCTCTCACCGGAACTCCAAACTGTATGGGTGGTGACTTACCACAGTTGATATTCCTTTAACAGTCTAAGAAAAGGAATGGAGTCACACACTGAGAGCCTCTACACTCTCCAAATTGGAAGATTACATTTATAATAAAAAGAAATAAAAAAAGTCTGTCAAATAATCCATAGACATACTTTCCCTGCCCTATTGAGGCGGTCAGAGCCTAGGAAACATTATGCTGTGACGCGGAATAAAGTGAAATATGTCTAATGGGCCCTACAAAAATTAAAAAAATACTCAGCCGTCACTGAACCGACTTTGAAAAGTTACAAAGCTTTTTCGTCCTTGACATAGTAGTAACATTGTGTGTAAATTGCATCAAAATCAGAGCGGTACTTTCCATATTATAGAGGCGTCAAGATCAGCGGACAGACAGACAGACTGACGGAATTGAGTGACATTGTTTTTCGTGATCTACATGCGATATAACATCCAAAAAACAATAACATCTCAATATCGAAACTTTACGCGGTTACAATACTTCCTCGTCAATAGGCGTGGGTAGTAAAAATGTTAGTGATTAAAACAAAATCAGTTTAAAGATACCCACTATTTAAAATTGAATTTTAAATATTTTTCAAAACGTAAATATTAGATAGAAGTGTATAACATTTTGGTGCTAAATAGATATATGATCGCTGCATAATATCTTTGTCTGGTTTAAAAACAATAGTTACACATACGATGGTCATTTTTTTATTTAAGAATATAATAATAAATATTTAATTATTTGTCAAGTCGTGGCACCAGCTTTACAAACCCATCGTCAAAGTACGCCTTGTGACCGTTAAGCTATTTAGTAACTGTTTTTTCCAAGATGTCATCATTTTCCAAGAGCTTTCCTCCAAAAAATGCCTTAAGTTTTGGAAGAAGAGTACATGTTTCTTTGAAAGCCTTGCTTCTAAGAGGCCATTCGAGTATTACGTAGGCAGGTTTCTTACAATTATTACCTCCTTTTCCCCTTGTCAGCAAAAGTAAGCAAATCTCTTACCCCACCCCCTCCCATGCTTACGTAAACATTTTGGTATATTTTACAATTTGAAGCAAGTATTGGCTTTCACGCACTTGTTCTGAACACTATTCACTGTCTGGAAAATCAGGAAGATCTGGCTCTTAAAATTAACGTCCACCAATGGTGGAGATACAGAGGATCAGTATTTAACCTTCAATTTGCTACAAATCATTACTCTTGTTTTTTCCTAGACTGCTCTGTTTTCATAAAAATAAAAACAAAACAAATTAGATCATTCATGAAGAGCCGAGATACGATTAGTTTCAAAATAAAATAGGAGGCCTTGATACCAACTTGACGTTTCTTGGGAGATAGATTGTCAATGTTATGTGTTATACGGTTACTAATACCATTTTTATTTTTGTGAAAGTCAAGCCACAAGTCTATTTTTTCCATTGTTGGGTGTTGTGAAATGGAATTCAGCAAGGATGAGTACGCCGATATTATTTTTGCCTACGGGTTCAAGAGGAACCGGAAGTGATTAATTTGGTGTTGGATGAGTAGTAGGTAGATTGCAGATCAGTTACCATGTTCCCAAAGTCTTGCGTGGAGAATATTAAATCGGGAAGTTTTACATCCTTTCCATCGGCAAAACGTCCGGCGACGAAGTGCAATAGCGAAATTTTTGTGAGTGGTTACTGCAAATGCATAATCAAAATGCAGATTTTATTGATTTAGTTTTGTGGTCAGATTAATCGCCTTTTACGAGGAATCTTTAATTCTCATAATGAACATATTTGGTCGTAAGAAAATCCCCGTGCTGTAAGAATCCACTCGTTTTAACACAGATTTTCTAGAAATGTCTGGTGCGGCATTTTCAATGGCCAACTGTTTATGCACACACATATTGCCACAACGTTTAGATGCAAACTCATACTTAGCTTTTCTAGAGAATTATGTAGAAAATGTGTTAGATGATGTTCCGTTAGCAACTAGAATACGAATGTGGTATCAGCACGACGGTGCCCCACCGCATGTTCATCGTGACATAGCCGCAAACGGACCCGTAAATTGGCCTGCGAGGTCTCCTTATTTGAACCCAATGGAAGTCTTTTTGTGAGGTGCTTTTAAACAATAGTGTATGCTGAACAAATTAATACTTGTTGATCAGTTACAAGAAAGAATAGATAATGCGTTTCATCAAATTCAATCCACAAAGAATTTTGCGGAAATACTTTTTTCTTTATTAAAAAGATGTCGCACTTGTATCAATCCAATTGAAGGTAAAATTCTGAAAATTGCGCGTTTCGAAAAAAAAACAGTGGCGTACTATTTTTATTTGGAAAAATAATGCCACTAATCCCCTATATCCCCGTCACTGGCGCACGTTAATTTTAACTAAGGACTTTTGAATGTGGACAATACTTAGGTCAATCCACATACCAAATTTTCATTCCAGTTTTCGGTTTTGAAGATAATAAAAATATTGTTTTTTTATGTTTAAGCTTCAACTATCTTTTTAATGAAGCCCTTGAGGAAAAAATGTTACATAGAAGACCCCCCTTAAAATGCGGTCCTGTGTATAATGTTTTATTTTTGGTCACGACTTGTGAATCACCCTGCATACATTAACAGTATTAAAAACTCTCTGTAATTCGACAAAAATTTAAACAGAGAGCATTGTATCACTAAGATTTTGATAGTTGACTTTTCTCGTGACAGGACTAAATTCTTCTGTGTTCAAAATACAGTGGAATCCACTTATAACTTGCTTATAATGGAAACCCGTATATAATGGACACAATTTAAAGTCCTATAAATAATTACATGTAGAATCCTCGGATATTATAGACTCGTTTAAAATAGACCCTCGCTTATAGAGGACTATTTTAATCTATTATATGAGAGCTACTTTGGTAGTTCCCCGAAGCAGATTTAGCTGATGCTATCGTTTACGGCGGTTTGGCTTCGCAGTTTGCATTCGAACTTGGCCACTAGTGTTATACTGTATTTATTTGGGTTATAAACATGTCGAAAAGTGCGAAACGTGCATTCTTTTTACACGAAAAGTTCACAATAATTAGTGAGCTTGAGCAGGGTTCATGTCAAGCAAATATATGTGCTCGTATTGCTATAAAAAAATCCACTGTGTCAAATATTCGGAAAAACCGTGATAAAATTAAAAATGACGCAGTCAAATAGTCAAAAGAATAAAATGCGGCTATCGCTGCATCCCCAAGTCGATTGTATGCTGTTTAAATGGTTTCAACAAAAGCGTGCTAATAATTTTCCAATAAGCGGACCTACGAGTATACTACAAATAAAGGCTGAAGAATTTGGGAAATTGCTTGGAGATTACTTCAAATGTAATTCCGGTTGGCTAGACAGGTTTAAGAAAGGACATAGCATTGTTTTTGGGAAGACGAACTAAAAAACGATGAAGAAGAGCTTTCAGTGACAACTAAGGAGGCATTAGACTGCGTGAAAAAGTTGCAAGGTTATTTTCAGCAAGAAGAAAACTTGCTGTTCTAAATAATTTTTCAAAAAAACAATCTGATCAAACTAACTTCTTTACCAAATAATTTACGGTTTTTACAGATACCTACACAGTACGTATGCCTGTAATATGTGTATCAGATTCTGAAAAAATGCAAATTTCAAAATTACGTATAACTTTTTTGTATGTATCTTTATTTATGTAATACATGTTAAACAAACACATTTTAAGATTTTAATATGTTATTTCTGCTGCTTTTTTCATTAAAAAAAGTGGGTTGCACTGTATTATATTTGTTTAACTGTATATATTGAATCATGCTACTGTACAATACTTATTCTAATAATTTCCTGCCCTAGGCGTTCACCAGGCTAAGGAAGTATTGGCGTCGATCTCAAACATTGCACTGATCGTACGATTTGTTCACAGACCTCAGATGACAAAATCAGAGAGTATCATTCAATGCTGCTTCAGGAGTGCGCAAAGATCTATCGCCCGGATCGGTACATGTCTCAGCTTCCATCGCTGAAACTACCATATGTAGGTCACATGGAGATACCCATCAACACAGGCACCATCAAACCAACACCAGCTATGCAAACTAGAGCCGTAAGAGTCGTTACCAAGTAAGTCAATATTGAAAATAAATTATAAGCGCCAAGCACAGTTTGGTATAAAATGTCTGCGAAAACTTTCAAACGAAATGGATGTCACTCAAGTACTACTTCTACCACAATTGACAACCGAAATATAGGCAAACATAGATGGAACTGAAGGAAAACATACAGACCAGGAAGTATTTCCGCATCTGATCAATGTTTTTTCTGATTTCCGATTCGTTTTTTTGTATAATCTTATTCAAAAAGAGCCTTTTTAATAAATTCGCATGTTGCCAGGCCCAAAATTGCACCACAAATTATATGAATCGTATACAAAAAGGACCCTTTTTAATGAATCTGCATGTAACCAGGCCCAAAATTGCATCAGAAATTATTTGAACTTTTTTTGGCAAATTCCAAAAATTGATTTTTTGCCCTGGACAGTTTTTCCGATTTGTTAAGTAATTCTGAACTAATTACGAACTTTTGTAGATATAGTAGAACCCCGATTATCCGAAATAATTGTGGACCCAAGTGCTTTCGGGTAATCGAAATTTCGGATAAAACGGAAAGAAATATTTACACTCATAATGCTTTTATTGAAAAAAATAAATGCGTGTGTTAAGTGAGTATACAGGGTGTTTCAGTTTATTGTTGCATGACTTTAAGATTCGATACAACTTTTAAAATTAATGCATAAAGTCTATATAAACAGGGGTCGAAAAATGCGTGGCTTCCGAAATCCAGGGTGTTTAAATTCACTTTCTAAAATAGTTTTTTTTAAATATTTCGAACAATATTTGATGTATAACAGTGAAAATTGGTATACAAGTGTTTTTTGGTACGACAAAACGAACCATGGGCATAGTTTTACTGTAGCCTCTAGAGGGCGCTCTCTACTGTACCTGTAGTGTATTAAAATGACCGAAAATTTTTACTTAGTGCAATTTTTTGCTTTTTGAATAAAAAAAACTGATTCTTCGCACGTTTCAACATAAAAAAGTTCTCTTGTGAATTTTCGTTATAGTTAGCAGTTTTTGAGATATTTAGATTTTTAAGGTTCGATGCATTTTTAATTACTTATGATAAAATAACGTTAAAAAGTCAGTATCTCGATAATTTTTAGAAGTAGGCTGTGCCTGCAAATATTTTTGAAATTGAAAGCAGAATAAGGTTAAACGTCAATTAGTTGACAGTTAGTTTTGTTGTCTGTTGAAACCTGAAACGTTTTTTTGCAATTGTGAATGCACGAAATTTAGTTTCTTTTACCTGTTTTTTTTTGTAAGTTTTGTAAAAATGCCATTTTTATTCTCCAATCAAGAGTTAGCGGATATTCATTTTGTGTATGGCTTTGTAAATGGAAACGCAGCAGAAGTAGCCAGAGAATACGCACGAAGATTTCCAAACAGACGACATCCAACTCGCTCAGTATTTGTAAGAGTGCATCGCCAAATAATTGAAAACGGTTTTGGAAATCTCCAAAGGGATCAAAACATAAATTTTCGTCAGCGCAGATTTACCCGTATGATTCTGCGTGAGTTTGATAGAGATCCGACCACAAGTCTTAGGAGAGTTTCTGGTGCTTTGGGAATTTCAGCAAGCCATGTTAACCGTGTTCTTAGAAATGACCATAGACGTCCCTACCATTTGCAACCTGTGCAAGGACTACTGCCAGGGGACGGAGAACGAAGAATCATATTTTGTCAGTGGATTCTTCATAGAACTGATAATAATAGGGAGTTTTTAAGTAACGTTTCATGGACCGATGAGTCATGCTTCACTAGACGTGGAGTGGTAAATTTTCATAATCAACATATTTGGTCGCATGAAAATCCGCATGCAGTTCGGCAAAGAAATGTTCAGCATGAATTTAGTGTGAACGTGTGGATTTGTATCTACCGTAATCGACTATTTGGACCCTACCTTTTGCCTGCAAGGTTAAATGCTGCGACCTTCTTGGAATTTTTAAAGGCTGAACATGCAAATATGATATTATGATAGATTTGAGAAGATTGGCCTGGTTCCAGCTTGATGGTTGTCCAGTTCATTATTCGAGAATAGTTAGAAACTGGTTGGACGAAAATTATCCAGAAAGATGGATCGGCCGTGGAGGACCAGTCGCCTGGCCGGATCCCCTGACCTAAATCCATTAGATTTCTTTGTGTGGGGATTTCTAAAAGAAAAAGTGTACCAGACTCCCGTAACCACAAGAGATATGCTAATAGACAGCATCAGGAATGCATGTGATGAAATAAGGCCTTATTTGAGTAATGCTATACCACGTTCGATCATTCGTAGATGTGAATTGTGTATTGAACAATTGGGTTTACATTTCGAGGAACTACTTTAGATTTTGTATGTTTGTCTTAACTATCCAATAGCATTTTAGTTGTAAATAGTTAATTTAATTTGTTAAAAATAATATTGGAAAATTAAACAAATTAATATCTGTTTTTTGTGTTTATTTGGACTTGGGAATTATTGCTGTGTTTAAAAACACAATCTAAACGATCATCTTAATTACTTGTAATGCCCAAATCGAAAATGTAAAAAAAATATTATTTTCCCATAAATAATTAAAAATGCATCGAACCTTAAAAATCGAAATATCTCAAAAACGGCTAACTATAACGAAAACTCACAGGAGAGCTTTTTTATGTTGAAAAGTGCGAAGAATCAGTTTTTTATGCAAAGAGCAAAAAATTGCACTAAGAAAACATTTTAATACACTACAGGTACAGTAGAGAGCGCCCTCTAGCGGCTACAGTAAAATTATGCCCATGGTTCGTTTTGTCGTACGAAGAAACCCTTGTATACCAATTTTCACTATTATATATCAAATATTGTTCGAAATATTTAAAAAAAACTATTTTAGAAAGTAAATTTAAACACCCCGTATTTCGGAAGCCACGCATTTTTCGACCCATGTTTATATAGACTTTATGCATTAATTTTAAAAGTTCTATCGAATCTTAAAGTTATGCAACAATAAACTGAAACACCCTGTATACCTATATAAAATTAGGTAAAATATAAACATGTGATATTACAAAAATACATATTTACGAGTATTTAGTAACAAAGGAAGTAATAGGTGGACATAAGATGTTGTTGCATTTTCTTGTTGTTCGACGTAAGTCAACGCCTTTTGTAGAGCTTCTAATCCCTCAGAATGTGATGTTTTGGCAGAGACTTCTGTCTCATTGTCACTAGCATCACTTAAAACTGTCTCATTGCCATTGTTACAAACAGTTTTTATTAGTTCTGTATCTGTTAATTCTTCCACCAATTCATCACCATTAATCCACTCACCATCTGCTTGGGTAAGGTTTTCACACCTTGCTATTTTTACGACGAGTTAATGTAACTCTTCATTGTTATTCTCATAGTCTACGCAAGGTACCATTTCTTGTTTAATTTTTGTCGACCAAGACTTTGTAAAGTAGAATTTTTTACTTGGCTCCATGCTTCTGCTATCCAATATGCCACATTCTTGAGGTTAGTCTCTTTTAAACAATCAACTAGGTTACAACCATTATCAACTTGATCTAAAATTTGCTCTAATAACAAACGTCTGTAATTGCGTATTAAATTTTCTAAAACTCCTTGATCCATTGGCTGAATCAGAGACGTTACATTAGGAGACAAAAGCATCACTCGTATTTCTCTACTTTTAAGTTGCTCCTCACTTGGGTGGCTCGTAGCACTGTCTAATAACAAAATACATTTTCTCGGATATACGCGTTCATTCAAATATAGTTCTGTCTTGTGAACAAAATGATTGTAAAACCAGTCGTCAAATAGAGCGGCGGCATCCATCTAGGCATTTTTTTTATTTTTATACCACACTGGAAGAGCGTTGGGACGGACGTGTTTAAATGCTATTGGTTAAGTTGATTTTCTGATTAACAATAAAGAAAGTTTGTGTGTACCGGAAGCAACAAGGATAGTCACACGTTCTTTACTGCGTTTGTAACCAGGAGCTCCAGATTCCTGTTATGAAGCTAAACTTTTCGCCTGCAAAAATTTTATAGTTTAGGCCCGCTTCGTCGCAGTTGTAAAGTTGTTCTTGATTTAAACCACACTGCTTCATTAATTCTTTAAAATGTTCTTCAAATTTTAATGTAGCGGACTTATCGGCAGATAACTTTTCTCCGCAAACTTTTAATTCTCGTATGCCGTGTCGTTTTTTCCATCTATGCAGCCAGTCATCACTGGCTGTAAACTTATCAGGCACCTCAATAACTGGCAATTCTTCAATTAAGTTGACTGCCTTTTGCTTTAGTATTGCTCCGGAAATTGGTATTTCACGTTCTCGATTCTGGGTAAACCACATATACAGGGTTTTCAAAGTTGGGGTTTTCCTTTTCAGAAACAACTACCCTTGAAATAACAAAGGTAATGTGTAGTGAAACGAGGGCGATCAAGTAAAAAAAAATAAAGGAAAAAGTACTCACTCTCCAGTTGACGAGAAAGGCTAAGTACGTCTCTGCCCGAAATCATACCGCTCCAACAGAAAATGAAATCAGCTGATGCGCTACCGAGCAGACGCCGGCGGTGGTGCAGACCACGAACCGAGGTAACAAATAAGACGGCGTTGCCGCGTTTTCAGTTTTTAGGTAAACGTACCTTATAGGCATTGTTCGAAGTTTGATTCAAAAACACAGGTGCGTGCACGACGTAGCCAAGCATCGGTGCAGGCTTTGAGAATGGAGTCCCTCCCCAGAATGAAAGCACCAGCTTGTTCAATTCTGAGACGAAGTTCGTCAACCGTATGCACTTCAGTTTTGTACACTAAGCGTTTCATTTCTCCCCAAAGAAAAAAATCACATGGTGTTAAGTCTGGAGATCGCGGAGGCCACGCTACGGGTCAATTACGACCGATCCACCTATTCGGAAATAATTCATTCAAAAACTCACGCACTTCGCGTCTAAAATGGGGCGGTGCACCATCGTGCAGAAACCACATTGCTTGTCTTACACTTAATCTTCTAACAAGGAAGGCAAAATGTCACCCCATTACGCGTGAACGTAGATTCGTCTGTCACCAATATGCACTTCAAAAAGTCCGGATTATTGTCATGTTGATGCAACAACCACTCACAAAACCGCACTCTTGCTGGAAAATCGTCAGTTTGAAGGGCTTGTACACGTTGGACGTGAAACGGATACAGCCCCTCTTCACGCAGCGTTTGCCACACTTTAGATTTTGATACTTGCACTTCTCTAGCCACGTCTCTCTAGTGCTTGTTGAGGGATTCTCGTCTACGCGATTCAGTAGTTCTTCCTCAACTTGCACCATTCGTGGTTGTCTAGGCCTCCCACTGTGCCCACCTCGAAATTCCTCCAAATGGCCCGTATCCCTGACTCTCTGGACCAGGTACACAAATCTGCGGGGCCTTGGATGATGTTGTCTAGTGAAACGATCTGCATACACTCGCGACGCCTCTGTAGCATTTTGAAGACATTCGCCATAAATTAACAACATATCAACGAGTTCAATATTGGTGTATGAGTGTGCCATTATTATAAGTATAAAGCACCATCCACTTTTTGATATTCCCCCTTTTTCATAGTTTTCCGTGATGGCTGCGATGATGTCAGAACACTAGACCACTTTTCAATTTTATCGCGTTGTTTTTTTCCATTCTGAAATGGTATTCACGCCCACACCCAAATCACTTGCCATTCTTTTAAGCAAGTCATCTCTATCTAAACGTCTGATTACCTCAAGTTTCTGTTCTATGGTAATAACAACGCGTTTACGTTTATTTCTATGCTGCTCCATCTTAGCGATTATGAACCTGACTGAAACAAACATACACGCACACATACCAGTGAATTCCGCAAACGTGATTGGGGAATCACCGGCAGCGAATCTAATGACGCAAACGCCGAAAGGGGAACCACCGGCGGCTAGTTCGGATCATGCGCCGATTTCCCGAACAACTTCGGTTAAAACGGAGAAATTATTGTATGCGATCTGTTTCGGATAAAGCTGATTTCGGATAATCGCGATTCGGATAATCGGGGTTCTACTGTACCTAAAAGTTTTCGGAAAATAATTCGAAAAACTTTGTCAAATACTAAGTCGCTTATATCTCGACAAGTGTCAACTTTAGAGAATAATTGATAGGAACTCTTTTGTTCAGAATGACCCAAAAAATTTTAAGTTAACAATTTTAATTTTTGACCTGGCAACACGCAGATTCAGTAAAAGGTCCTTTTTATGCAAAAAATCGAATCAGGGCAGATGTGAAGATACTTCCTGGACTAATAGTAACTCTTTTAGAAGTACGATACTTGTGGAAGTACATGGTACACAGGTACCAATTCCTTGCCAGAATCACCCACTAAGATTGGGTTGGGCGGAAGGTGTGAGATACTTTCGTTCGTCGTCCCACTTATACTGTTGATACAAAATGTCGATGAAATGGCGCCGTATACTGTGCTTTCCAGAACGGTCACAGAGAGCAGAAGCAGAAACGCGTGTTGAAATCATTTTGCTACCATTCTTAAGGCCAAATCTACGGGAAAATCTATGATGTGTGAAATATGTCTAATAAATCCGAAAGATAACATCAAAAAATTGAGATATAACCTCCCCCATCCCGACAACCCCCAAAACTTCAATTTTAAATTCCTAACAAAATTTTTCTGATAATGATTAGGAGCCTCTCAAACGTCAAAAAAAAGGAGTTTGAGCGATTTCTATTCTTTTCGCTTTTTCGCTCCGTAGTTCCACTGCTACTGGACCGATTTTCAAAAACTACTAATCAAAACAACAAAAGCTTCATCCAAATCCGAGCTTTTTCTAACTGATAGACATACATACGTGTTCCTCTATCTTCTTCTATCCACACACGATACACAAGCATTACCGTCATTGTAGTACAATTAACACGGCGGTCAATTTCGCGATAGGACAAATTAGCAACAACTGAAATTCCTGAAACCTACTGTGGCAAGCATCCTCAACTTCATTCTGAGCAAAAGCTCGAATAATGTGTATAGAATAAATATATCAAACCACCTTTTCCGTTGATCTGTCTCTCTATGTTGTTCGTCTTTTATAATAGTATTAATCCCAGCTTAAATCATACAGTAATGACGCTTATTCACTTGTTTTCTTGTTTTAGGTATGTATATAAAAATCCAGTTTGCATAAAAGCTACTAAAAAGAAAACTTGCCCAATGGCCACAACTACAAAGCACAAGGGTGGCGAAGATGAAATAGTAACCAAAGAATACTTTGTCCAAGATAAAGAACAAAACCAAAGAAATGGAAAGCATGTTGATTTGGGTGGAGAAGACGATGATACCGTGTGGTAAGTTTAAAACACGAAGACAAAAATCATTATAGGCAGGTTTATGAGATTTAATCTAATACATCGATCATTCCAATTTAATGTTAAGGTTTATTATTGTTACACAATATTGTGAGAGGACATTACCAAGATGCCTCGTCTCCCAGAAATGTATATATATATGCTATCTAAACCCTTATACCCGTAGGTGTAAGGTGCAATTACATTATTTCATTTTCTAAACTAATTAGTTATTATATACAAATTTAGCCCAGTCTTTCTTATTTCTCGCCCGGCGCACTGCTTCGTTCCAACTTATTCCCCTGTTCTTGAGTATTTTCGCCAATCCATCATTCCACGTCTTTTTCGGTCGCCCTCTTGCCCTTTTCATTTGAACTATCGCTTCCCATATGAGTTTAACTGGCCTTGTATCCTTCATCCTTACTGAATGATAAAACCATTTTGAGTCAATCCTTTGTAGTACAGATTCCACTCCCAGCTCTTCTCTAATTACTTCGTTTCTAATTTTGTCTTTCCTAGCCTGTAACTTGCTTTTTGTCTGTTCGTTAATACCCAGCTCTCGCTTCCAAATATAAATATGGGTCTGAATACTGTTCTGTACACGGTCGTCTTTGTTTTTCTGCTTATCACTTTCTTCGTTAAGAAAGATGTTTTCAATGTGTGATAGAGCCTAGATACGTTCATTAATCTTTCGTTGATTTCCTCTTCCATTGTTCCATCACCTTGTACTACCACTCCTAGACATTTGAAAGCTTCGACTTGTTCCATATGTGCGCCCTTAGTAACTATATTCATTCCATTCCCTTCTGCTGTCGTCATCACTTTTGTTTTAGATCCGTTAATATTCAAACCTCTCTTCAATATTTCCTGGATCCGGATTTTAAGGTTATCTTGTAAGTCTTTTGGGGTATTAGCGCACAATAGCAGGTCGTCCGCGAATGCGCACTCTGAAATATTTATTGGCCTCATTTTGTAGAAACCGACCTGTACTTTTTTAATTTTGCTTTTGACGGCCTTTATTACATCATCCATAATCTTAATGAATAATATCGGACTCAGGACTCCTCCCTGTCTCAGCCCATCTCATATGATAAATTCCTCTGACGTCATGTTATCCTTTCTAACATAGCATGTATTTTGTTCGTATATGCTTTGTATACACTCTGTTAGGTCGTTATGTACTCCTCGTTTTGCCATGCTGTCCTACACAATTCTCCTTGGCATATTGTCGAACGCTTTTTCAGGTCTAAGAAAGCTAGGCTTAGTCCGTGTTCTTTGTATTACATTTTTGGATTAGCTGTTTTATTGTAAATATATGGTCCGGACATAGCATAGTCCTTTTCTGAACCCACTCTGCGCTCCGTCTAGGTCGTAAACTTTCAAAGGTATACTTAGCAACGTGATTCCTCTATAGTTGGTGCAGTCCAGTGTGTCTCCTTTTTTGTGGATGGGGGATGATTATTCCTATTTTCCAATCATCGGGAATTTGTGTTTCTACCACCGCATTGTTCAATAAATCGGTAAACAGCTCCGCTAATCTTCAACATTTCAGAGATAATACCATCGTGTCCCGCAGATTTCACCCGTTTCAGCGCATTGATGATTTCCGCAACTTCTTTTTGTATTTCGCTTTGCTCAGTTTCTGTTGCTCCTCTTTGTGGGAATACTGAAGTGTCATTTGCAGTCACATTTGTCTTCGGTGTGTTCAAGAGCTCTTCAAAGAGTTGTCTCCATCTTTCTACGAGGGATGTCTTTTAAGTTTTGCATATGGAAATAAAACAACACGGTAGGTAGTTTTAAATGACTTTATTGTTTTTCGAAGTATTCTCCACTAAGACTAATACACATCTGCATGCGCTCGAACCAGTTTTCGAAGCACTTATTCCACTCGTTTGCTGGCAGATCCAAAACGGCATTTTTGAACGCGTCAACTGCTTCTTCTGGTGACTGGAACCTTTGACCACGCAGTCTGTTTTTAATTTTCGGGAAAGTAAAGAAATCGTTAGGACTTAGATCGGGACTATATGGAGGATGGTCCAATAATTCCACGTTTTCTTTCGTTAAATACTGCCTTGTTTTTTAGGCTGTGTGCGAGCTTGCATTGTCTTGGTGGAGGATGATTCTTCTTTCGGGATTGATTTTTCGAAGCTCGGTGATGACTTTTGGCAAACAAATGGTGGTATACCAATCCGCAGTAACAGTTCTTTGCTCATTAAGAGGAATTGTTGCTTTTGAAACAAATGTCGCGACCATCTTTTTCGAAACACTTCGAGAACGGATGACTTTTGTTGGCTTTTCTTCACCTTGGAACACCCAAACAGCCGACTGTCGTTTATTTTCTAGTTCATAACAGGAAATCCACTATTGATCACCACTAACAATGCTGTACACATTTTTTGAGTTTCCGGAACTGAAACGGTTTAGCGTTTTTTGACACCAATTAACCCTGGCTGCTTTCTGCTCTTCAGTCAACATGGGGGTATCCAACGAGAAACTAATTTTCTTACTCCTAATTCTTCATGTAAATTTTTTTGTATTGAGGTCTTTGAGATCTTCAAGGATGCCTCAATCTCGCGATATGTCACATGTCTATCTTCAATGATGAGCTTGCGCACAGGATCGACGTTTTCCTGAGTGACTGCCGTTTTTGGTGCACCCACCATGGAATCGTCGCTAAGACTCACCCGTCCACGTTTGAATTCTCCATACCAACGGGAAATTGTCGACTGATGTGGCGCTTCGTTGCCGAAAACAGACAGTAGCTCAGCAAGGCATGCTTGTTGCGGTAATTGTCTCTGAAAGTTGTAATAAATTATGGCGCGACAATGTTCTCGGTTGAGTTCCATTTTTCTGATGACTTGGTGACACTTAATAATTTACTATAGTAAGAACACTGCACGTATTGTTGTGAAACTTTGAATCTAAGTTTACTAAAGAGTGAGGTTAAGATTCGGTACTGACGTTCGATCCGCGCGGCCTAATATGTTTCTATATGCAAAACTTAAAAGACATCCCTCGTATTATAATTTTAGGCTCCGTAATGTTTTGGTTATGCTTGTCTTTGACATGCCTGAGATTATACTGTTTAGGGTTTCTTAAAGTTTTCAAAACTCTATAAAATAGTTGTTGGTTTCCTCTGCTGTCTTGTTCCATCTTAGTCCCAAAATCTTCCCATGACTGTTTTTTCACTCCCAGTATCACCTCCTTCGTCTTTATCCTTTCTTTTTTATAGTCGTTGTAAGTCTTGTCGGTCCTATTCCCTAAGTATGCTTTCCATTTAATCTTTTTTATTTTCACTTGTCCTTTAATTTTGGCGTTCCACCAACTTGTTAGCTTTTTGTTTCTAGTCATGGAAGCATATCCGCACGTATCTTCGGTCGCTGTTATTATAATTTCTTTAAAGAGTGCCCATAACCTGTGGACGTCCGAATTTCCCTAACTTCGCTTTAGCTGTGCAAGTTTTTCTGCAGTCATGTCTCTATATTTTCCAAAAAATGTAAATATCACTTAATAATATTTATAACAATACTTTGAATTTCAGGAATTCAAATCTCTTAGAAGCTCATTATGACCCTTACGAAGAAATTCAGGAAACTAGAGATGAAACTTTCAACGATTTCATAGCTCCCAGTGAGACTCCTTTCTATTCCAGTAGGAAACAAACGAAAACTCCAAATTTAAGTGGAAAGAAGGTTTATGATATGTTGATCGAGGATAGACTTGATCAATTAGAGACTATCTTACCACATTATGTCAGGAGAAGGGTTTATCAAACTTCTACAATTACTGTAAGTATGAGTACTTAATATCGTAATAGGTAAGCTAAATAGTTTTTCAACAGAGACGGGTTGACATTGAAATGGAATAAACCAAATTGATAATGAGATTCTGTTTTTTGTTTGGATCTAATTCCTTCTCAAACTAGGGGCGACGGCTCGAGTTGTGTTCACTTTAATGCCGTCGGTGGATTACGGATAATAATTAGCAAAAATTGAAGAGTGGCTGCCGGTGTACTCATACGATGTAGCATAAATGTGATTTAAACAATAAAGCTAATTTAAAAGGAGACCTTTTATTGTTAAATAACAAGATACAATTCTTCTTTTTTGTCTTCTTGCAAATCGATTCATGACTTCTTCCATATCTTGAGCCACTTGAGCGTAGAAAATGACCTCTCAGTTATAAGTACATTAAGGGCCTTCGCACACGCAACGTAAGCGTAGTCGTTTCGTAAGCGTATCGTTACGAGACCTGCAGTATTCCACACACACATCGTCTCGTACTCGTATCGTTTGTTGAGATCTTAGTTGAAATCATGGCGTCAACGGTACCAGATGTTTCTGGTGTATCCATTGATGATCTTACATTTTCTTCAGACGAAGAGGATTTTTTATTGTTTGATTATGTTAGAAGTTGAACGCGACATACTTATTGGATCCATCCATACATCGCAAGTAATAAGAAGAAAAGATTGTTTGTTGCTGAACGTGGACTTTGAGAAGATGATAATAAATTCCGAGGCTTTTATCAAATGAGGAAGGAGACATTTCAGCCATATCGAGAGCAATTAAACAACATTTTTCAAATTTTATGCTTGCTTCTACGCCTGCCTTACGCCAGACCGCTACGACTATCGTAATACGACTGAACATCTCATACGCTTCGCTGCAATACCGCTTCATGTGCGGACTTGTTAGCACACATACGAGCTCGTTTTGCTCTCGTACTACGCGCGTATTACGATACGCTTACGATACGACGTAGTGTGCGAAGGCTCTAACTGGTAATGTCGCAAGGATACATCAGAATTTTTTGATGTTGGGATATATTTTGGCATCGCAATTTTCAATAAGAGGAATCGACCGAGGAAAATGCAGAACTCGCTGCCATTTTGTCATCCAGAGCCGATATACATTCACGATTATTAAAGTTGGCGTATCAAGAGGGTTAAAAACCATCTTAACAGCTGAACAATTGATACAAGTTTATTTTGCTAATGTGGATTCGAGATTAAGATATGGAGTATGTTTTTGGGGTTGGTCAACGCGCTCTGAAGATGTATTTGTGTCTCAAAAAAGATGCATCCGATCATTAGCAGGCATCTCACCAACAGAAAGTTGCAAAAAATATTTTATAAGTTTCAACATTTTAACTGTCCCTTCGTTGTATATATATGAATTGTTCTTACATGTTTTTAAAAATAATGAAAAATTCAAGCGAAATTGTCATATGCATAATTATGATACAAGGACTTGTAATAATTTATAATGTAAACTTCAGCAAATCAAAAACGGCATTTAGATCACCTAATAAAATTGGTCCGCTTCTTTTTAATAATTTACCATGCCACATTACCTCGGTTAAAAATATTAACGACTTCAAGTTCCAGTTGAAGCAATCTTTGATAAACAAGTGCTCTTATCGTGTTGATGAATTTTTGAACATTGCAACTTGAGATTAGTTGTAGGTTTGTAGCGAACGAAAAATTGACAATTTTGTCTGTATGGAAATAAAGGTTAAAGGTAAAAGTAAGTGCACGTTTACATCAAACGCGCTTCGCTTGGAGCTGTGCGCTTTGCTTTACAGCCCAGTAGGAAGCGAGAGGAACGACAACACAGCTTTAAATGAATGTGTTCAGACCGCGCGCATGGCGCTACGCGCTGTGCCTTACGTTATACTATGCGGAGCGGTGGAAAACGCGATGTGTTGGTTTTGCGTTGCGTTTTGCCTCGCTTGTTCAGACAACTCCGAGGGTTATCTGCATAAACACAATGGAAGAAGAAATTATCACCGCCGTTTTTAAACGAGAGGCAATATGGAATCCGAAGCATGCGTTGCATAAAAATGTATACGCGTTACAAAAAATGTGGAAAGAAATAGGAGACGAAGTTGGAAAAGATGGTGAGTTCATATTATGTTTTAACTAGGGATGGATATAATATATCAACTTTTAGAATGTGTCGATGTCTTCTTTTTGTTGTCCGTATTTTTGCATCGGTTTTGGTTTCCATGTATAGGGGCGTATTCGTGTTTTTATTCTATGTATAAGTGGTTTGCGATACGTCATCTGTATAAACCATCGTGTGTATGAGGTAGTAGCAGTTTTAATTTTTAAGGCAGAGTAGTTAAAGAACAAAATAATTAGGGAATAGAAACTCAAAGATAATACTATATAATACATTTATTGTACGAAAGAAAATTGATTCTGCCACTCAACTGCACCAGTAGTCACAAAATAATTTGTTAATATTTCTCTGGTTCTCTTTGCATCTTCGGAAAAGCGATACTGGGAGTGTGTGTAGGTACTCGGATTAATATCGCCGCTAAAGCCCGTCTGACATTCCTTATTTGTCTTAAATCCCTCCTGTTCTATAACAAAATTGTGCAAAATACAAATGGCCTTTACAATATTTATAGCTGTCTCAATTTTTGTTTCGATAGGTTTTAGTAAAATTCGCCATTTGCCACTCATTATGCCAAATGCGCATTCAGCACATCGCCGGGCTCTGGAGAGACGATAATTAAAAATTCTTTTTGAATTATCTAAATTTCTTCTAGGATATGGCCTCATTAGGTATGGAAGCAGAGGGTAAGCTTCATCGCCTACTATAACCAATGGGGCTTTTATATTTGTTTGTGGTAAGCATTGATCAGGTGGGACGTCAAGCTCTTTTCTGTCTAATGCTCGAAAAAGCGACGAGGACCTAAAATTTCCTCCATCGCTTTGGCGTCCAAAACTCCCAATATCAACCGCAATTAATTTACAGTCAGCATCAACTAGGGCTTGAAGTAATATTGAAAAATATTGCTTATAATTATAGTATAGAGATCCGGTATTGGAGGGACATTTAACTTCAATATGTTTGCCGTCAATACTGCCTATGCAATTTGGAAAATTCCATTTGGTCCAATATTGTTGTGATTTATTGTGCCACGTTGCTTGTGTAGGTTTTGGTAGGTAATCACTTTTCATGGTATCCCATATTACCATGCATGTATGATTTACAATATTTGAAACTGTTGCCACCCCCAATCTGAAGTGTAGAGCTAGGGATCGATAGGATTCTCCAGTAGCAAGAAATCTGCAACAAACATACATAAAATATGCTTGGTGTTAATAGCAATTTTTGTTTCAGTTCAAACTGTTAAAAATAAATGGAAATACTTGAGGGACTACTTTAACAGAGAAACAAAAAAGTTAGAAAAACCCAGATCAGGCAGTGGAGCAAATGAAGCTGTAGCAAGTCCTTGGCAATATTATTCTCTTTTGTTATTTTTAAAAGACCATCTGCAAACCCCACTGAGGGATGCAAATATAGAAGCGGAAAGGGTCACAGAAGATATTGACTTAGAATATAATGATATACAGGACGTAGAGTCGCAAGATTCTGACAATGTTTTGTCACCGCCATCGACCAGCAGTCAAGCACCTTCAAGGTCTGCAAGCCGATTATCTTCTACTTCTGAAACTCGGAAGGGGGCGCAGAAGCGAAAGAAGCAACTGGCAACAGAAAACGACAATAGCGAACTAATAATGTTAGAAAAACGGAAACTTGAGCTCCTAGAGTCTGAATCACTTAAAGAAAATGATGATGATCTTTTGTTCCTAAAGAGTCTTTTGCCATACATGAAGAGTCTTCCTGCTTCAAGAAGATTACGTCTAAGATTAAAGTTTCAGGAACTGCTTCTTCAGCAAGTTGAGGAGCATGAAAGTGAAGTTTCACAAAATGTTTGTGGACAACCTCCGGCACGTGTCTTTACCTTCCCCGCTCCCTCAAGTTCCGCTTCGGACAATCATACATACCATCATCACATACCGATACAGTCAACACATCCGGATCCGACCACACACAATGTATCTGAAGGTAGTGAATTGGACACCCCTATGCGAAGTTTTTTTTCAGGATATAACGCGTAACATTTTTATTCGGACAAATGTATTTTTTAATAAAATAAAACTCAGTTTTTCATAAACACTATAATTTTATTTTGGCTTACCTCAATGTTATAACCAAACGTTGTTCTGCTGAAATCCTTTCACGGAAATTGGTTCCAATCCCACATAAATAAGGATCCAAATGGCTTAGGAGAAGGTCGAAAGATTCCTTTGACATCCTCAAGTATTCATAAAATTTTTCTGGATATTTTCTGGCATCTCGATAGAGGTGATAGAATTCTCCGAACGATTTCCTACATATATTAATCTCATGCACCCACGATCGTTTTAGTTTTTTTCTATTCACTTTCAACGCAATACTTTCGAGTAGTAATATCTTCTTAACTCGTGAAGGAGCCATGGTGAAATGCTTGGAAAATGCGTCTTTAAATATAAAGTGTGTTTTAATAACAGTCGAGGTATGAAAAGCGAAGCGCCTCCGATATGAATGAACCCGAACGCATAGAGGTTCGCTTGACATGAAGTGAGGCGCACAGCTCCAAGCGAAGCGCGCTCGATGTAAACGTGCCCTAAAGGTTTGTAGTCGATTGCGAGTTGCTGAACGGTTTCTAGATCTTCACTAGTATAAGTGTACGTTTACATCGAAGGCGCTTCGCTTGCAGCTGTGCGCTTTACTTTACAGCCCCGGGGAAAGCTAGAAGAACGAGAACACAGCTTTAAATGAATGTATTCAGACCGCGCGCATGGCGCTAAGCACCGTGCCTTACGTTATACTATGCGGAGCAGTGGAAAACGCGATGTGTTGGTTTTGCGTTGCGTTTTGCCTCACTTCTTCAGAGAACTCCGAAGGTTATCTGCATATACAGGGTGTCCGCAAAGTTGGGGTTTTCCTTTTCAGAAACAACTACCCTTGAAATAACAAAGGTAATGTGTAGTGAACCAAGTAAAAAAAAATAAAGGAAAAAGTACTCACTATCCAGTTGACGAGAAGGGCTAAGTACGTCTCTGCCCGAAATCATACCGCTCCAATAGAAAATGAAATCAGCTGATGCGCTACCTCGCAGACGCAGGCAAACAAGGAAGGCAAAATGTTGCGTAAAAAGTCTAGGTATTGCATCCCGTCCAATCGATTTGCGAGAATAAATGGTCCAATGAGCTTACCGTTCACCATGCCAGCACAAACATTCACCGAAAATATTTGTTGAAAATGTGCCCGACGGACCGCGTGCGGATTTTCTACTGACCAAACATGAGTGTTGCGAAAGTTATTCACCCCATTACGCGTGAACGTAGATTCGTCTGTAAAAAAAATGCACTTCAAAAAGTCCGGATTATTGTCATGTTGATGCAACAACGACTCACAAAACCGCACTCTTGCTGGAAAATCGTCAGGTTGAAGGGCTTGTACACGTTGGACGTGAAACGGATACAGCCCCTCTTCACGCAGCGTTTGCCACACTTTAGTTCTTGATACTTGCACTTCTCTAGCCACGTCTCTGGTGCTTGTTGAGGGATTATCGTCTACGCGATTACCTCTACACGCGTGACCGTAACCGTGGGTTGAAGGTTGCATACTGACCTGACACACTGACCCCGACCCAGTTCTGTCGTCGGGTTGAGCCAGTGACCTTGTACCACTTGATGATGTTGCAGAGCCCTTTATCTCGGTTTTCTTAAGACATTGGTGTATATGGTACTAAGAAAAATTGCTTATGTTTTCAAGATCTACACGTCGTGTAAAGGAAAACCCCAACTTTGCGGACACCCTGTATAATGGAAGAACAAATTATCACCGCCGTTTTTAAAGGAGAGGCAATATGAAATCCGAAGCATTCGTTGCATAAAAATGTATATGCGTTACAAAATCTCGATAGAGGTGATAGAATTCTCCTAACGGTTTCCTACATATATTAATCTCATGCACCCATAATCGTTTTAAACATTTTTTTTCTACTCATTTTCGAGTAGTAATATTTTCTTAACTCGTAAAGGAGCTATTGTGAACTGATTGGAAAATGCGTCAATAAATATAAGTGTGTTTTATTAGCAGCCGACGCGACGTCTAAAAAGCGAAGCGCCTCCGATATGAACGAACCCGAACCCATAGAGGTTCGCTTGACATGAAGTGAGGTGAACAGCTCCAAGCGAAGCGCGTTCGATGTAAACGTGCACTAAGTGATTCTCGGAATTAAAACATCTAACTGTCTCTGTGGATAGTGGCTCTTGAAGATCAGTTGCCTAGAAGAGGTGTAAACAGCCTTCCAAAAATACTCTTCTGCTTTCTATCAAATTAATAAAACCGCTTTTATATGATTTTGTCCCTTAAAAAGTATTTTTATCAAATTTGCTCACAGCTTTAAAGGCGCACAGGAAAAGGTTTTTTCTTATACTCTTGTCCAAATGTCTGAATTTTCAATTTACTTTAATCACAGAACACATGAGGCTCAATTTCCAATAATGCACTAACGGACCTGCAGTAGTACCAAGCCAAAAAACGCAAAATCACTATTTTATATATAATTATGTCAAGCTGAACCTATAGGCAACTAAACTTGCGCAACCCTCTTATTTCCACGCCATCATCGATGGGCGGACAAAATGATCAGTGTTGTCAGAAAACCAACTTTTTTCTCAGAGGGCATAACTTTAACATAATCCTTTATCAACTGATGATGGGAAGATTGAACCTACCTGACGCCATTTTTTAAAACTGTAATGAAAGTTTCGCACCATCTCGACGTGGTACGGGCTAGTAATGCAACACACTGCTTAGTAGCGGCAAAACATATGAATTGTCACCTGGAAGGCTGATGTATATAAAATATATTATTGTCATTTTTAATTTGGAGTCTGCCACCGAGGTAGCCAATTCTACATATGTGGTACCATTTATCGATCAGAAAACTACAGAGAATAAATAGCACGAACATTGCATGATAAATTTTGAGATGTTATATGCTTCTACAAATAGTTTTATGTGGATGTTAGATCGCCGGCATCATTTGTCTTTACTTTTTCTAAAACAATCTTGGTGGTGCCCCATTAACTGTACTTTCTACCGTCGTCGCGCCTTTATATTTTGGAAAGGATCAATCGAGAAGCTTTCCAGCCCCATTATCGAAGTTCTAGAAGATTCGAATCGATACTTGTCAAACGTTCCCGGAATCGGCAGAACGCTCTCACCATGTGAAGGCAATCTCTCACGTACAGCTGTATAACTACCTGTATGGTTGCCCAAGCGTCGATGTTTCTGGACGCCTGTGAAATCTCCTGGTCTATGAACTAGGGTGCCCCGCTGGTACCGAGTTCTAGTTATACGAGGGCGTTACAATACCTCTTTTCAACTTGTTTTCATAAAACTCCAATTATTTTTACTCCCTACGAAAATATTTTGTACTTTCCAATAAAAATAAAGTAGAACGTTTTTGGGTTCTAAATAATAGGACAAAGCAACACAATGAGAGAACAGTGTGTACTAGAGGAAGTTTTCAAAAAGAAAATCTCTTGCATTTTCACGTCGGGGATCTGAAACAAATGGAACGATGCCAAATACAGCCCGTTATTTTTTTCTAGATGCACCAGTGATCTAAGATCCATCTTAATACAGAAACATAATGATACTATTTAAGTGTAATAACGTTATAATTTTATTTCATTACTCGTTTCTAACAGTAATCTGTTCCTCGGGGCAAGATACGGCATATCAAATAAAAAAAAATGAGAACACCACAGTTGCATTTAGATGTCGCGGTTGCGATTAATTCTTCTATACGTAACGCTCTCGTTGCCGATAACATTCTGTTTCTATGCCCGTTATAACATCATGTGTATAAACATTTGCATAGTGGTATGCACATATTTTGCTTGGTTCTGTGGCATATATTTGCAGCATGCAGTATGTAGATTGTCAGTAACATATATTTTAAGATATCTACTTGTTAAATAAGATATGTATAGCCAATGAAACTACACTGCGCATCAAAATTAGCTAGCACTCCATATAAAAGCTACACCTGACTTTGTATGCTGAGGATGTACCGCTTGGCCCAGAGGTGGGCTCAAATGTTTTCCTCAATATTAGTTACCAAGCCAAATATTATGAACGCTAAAAATATCTAAAATAAGTTATTAGGTGTTACATGACATAAAGATCACGAAAAAATCATTACACATATTCCGGTCGGTCTGTCTATCTATCCGCTAATCATTGTTCCTTCTATATATACTCGGAAAGCACTGCTGAGACTTTGATAAAAAGTTTGATACAAAGTTACTAATATGCCAAGAGCGAAAAAGCTTTGCAGGTTTTGAAAATCGATCTAGTGTCGGCAAACCTACGGGCTTAAAAGTTAAAAATAAAAATCGCTCGAACTTAGTTTTCTTGACGTTTCAGAGACTGATTTTTGGAATATTTTTGAGAGGTAAAAAATTGGGTATGGAAGCATTGTAGCGGGTGGGGGAGAATATATCTTACAAGGTTTTAGAAGCTCCAATAACTCTTCGCGCCTACTAGATACATTTTACACATAGATTTTCCCGTAAATTTGCCCTTGAGTCTAAGAGTGACAGAAATATGTTCAATACTCGCCTAACCGGTGAAGAACCTAGAAAAAACCTGTCGTTTGTTTGATTCTTTGTTTCAAATTTATTTAGCATTAATGCTACAACGTCCATAATATCCATATTACACAGTATATCACAAAATATATTATGTCTTCAAGACCACATATTTTTATACAAAATTTCACTACTATGAATTCTGGTTTTCCATGAGATATTTTTTCAATTTCCCTTTGAACATCTTGATATCATTACTTAATTTATTAAATTCGTACAATCCCTTTTGAAATACTGACTTGCTCGTTATATTGCTACTGCAGTTTTGTAAATGAAAGTCTATACTTCCTCTAGTAGAATAATTGTGGCACTCATTGTTCAATACAATAAAATTTTCTAAGTGATTTGGTAGAAAATGATTTTTTAACTTGAATATGAAAATGAAAACCAAGTAGGCTATGAAATTTTTGATATTTAACCATTGTAGTTCTTTCAGCATAAAATTTATTCTAGTATATTTATTTTTATTTAAGATGATTTGCTACCCCGTGGCACATCTACCGAAATGTTTTAAAAATAATAACGTATTGCCAATTTTAGTTCTTTGACAATTTATCCCTGTCAATAGTCTCAAATGCTCTTTTGAAATCTAAGAACAATGTTATTGCAAACTTTTTTTCAGCCATATTTCACCTGCATTCTTCTACTACCATTTGAATTGCTGTTTCAGTAGAATACTTTTTTCTGAATCCTGCTTGAAATTTTGTCAATATATTATTATTAATAATAATAATAATAATATTTATCCACTCAATGTACAAAGAGAACAAACAACATGAGTCAATAAATATAAAATCAAAATAGGTCCCATGGAAGGCATTGCCTATACATGGACATACATATAATTTTAAGTTGCAACTGTAGAATGCAAATGACAAAGAATGACAAAAATTGGCCACAGTAGAATATGCATTTACTTGATGTTCGTATTTATGAGTTTATGAATTTCAGTCCTAGATATAAAATGTAGCCACTTTTTTAAATTTCTTTTGAAACAATTTCCTTAAATGTAAATCTTTCAAGTCTTTAGGTGTAATTTCTTATTTTTTTTTCTGGCACTAGGACATTGCGTCCCATTAGCCAGATCCAATCTTGTATATGTATGTATATCTCTAATTATGGACAAACACACGACGTCACAACATCCATGGCCTCGAAATGTGATTTCCGAAGGCGAGATTCGAACTCGCGGCCCGGCCGGCCGGCTGATCAGTAGCACGACACTCTGACCCACGCGGCCAACCGAGGTCCCTCATATAATTTTGCCGCTAGATAGAGTTATGACCGCTGCATTATAGATTTATGCGGCTGAGAAACTACTGTGCCACGAATTTTGTACCTTGTGTAATGATTATGTTTAATTTTTTGGTCGGTGTTGACAAATTTATGGTAGTGAGTGATACTGTGTAAGAAATAAAGCTGTCTTATATCATACATTCGTACATCTGCGTATAATTTGTCAGTGGGATAAAGTTTCGGTTTTTTAAACATCATTTTTAGAATACTTTTTTGAAAAACATCTAAATTATAGATATGTGAGGAACATGCAGCTCCCCATGCTAAAATACCATATGTGACATGAGGCTCAATCAGTGCATGGTATAATGTTCGAAAATATTTTTCTGTGAATATATTCGTAAGGTATTTAACTTTGTAGGATACAAATCTAACTTTCTTTAAAATATAATTGACATGAATTTCCCAACGTAAGTGAGGATCCAAGACCTCTCCAAGGTATTTTATGTTCGGTACTCTATTAATTTGTATTTTATGATCAATTATGCTGAAGGAGAAATTTGTGTAATTTTGAAGGAAATTCGCCATACACTAAACAGTGATTCACTTACAATAATAACTTCTCTCCAATAATGTTGAAACATTCCTTCATAACCATTTTTGAAAGATGTTCACTAGGATTTCTATTCGATTTGAATCTTGTAATAGCTTTTGAAAGAAGGCTGATATTTATTGTTTGGAATTGTCGCGTAGAATAGTTATAAGCAACTTGCATGTGACATAGACTTGGATCCCCATCTTCGATTGATTGCACTATCTCATCTATACTTTCTACAAAATAAGCGTTCATTCGTTCTGCAATCAATATTTTTTGTGTTACTATACCATCTTCGAAGCACATTCTTGATAATTCATTCTTCCCATTGGGAGATACAATATTTTTTATTGTCTGGGGAGGACAAAAAAGAAATTTGTAGATCGCATTGTTGTCAGGTGGGTGTAGACTAATGATATGAGCCTATTTGACTGACTTAATCCATTCAATTCTTGCGTTGTATATGCTAACTTTTTTTAAGAAGGGCTCACTTGTGCCTTTTATGAATTAATAACAGCGTTACATGAGAAGTGCTGGGTCAACCTACTTTTTTACCTTATCTTTTCACTCGTTTGTTGGATTTTTTTCTGAAATTCATGTAATAAAAGAGAATTCATTTAAACCCTTTGCATTTCACGCTAAAAGAATCAGCCAATATGATTTGATTTTTATCCTGAATGGAGCGTCCATAGAATTCCATGTCAAACCATCAATATCAGAGAAAAAATGTCACAAGTAAGTTACAGCTTTGGCGCGAAATTTTAAATCTAGGAGGTAAAGTCTCCCACTTTTCATTTAAAGAACAAAGTGAAGACACTCAGAATACCCTTTTTGGAGGAAAACCTTGATATTCCGTCACAATAAAAATTTTGAGAAAACCTTTTCTTTGCAGAGATGTACAAAATCATTTCGAAATTAAAATGATACAGTAGGTATTAATTAGATTAGAACGGCAATAAATTTGTCAGTTGTGTCGTCAAACCTCAAGCTGTAAAATATGCTATTTTGACAATTTTCAGGGATTTTATGCATTGAGCATTCTAAATAGCATTTAGTCTAGGTATTTCCTATTTTCCTGAAAACTTTCTGACTCGTATGCGATTATTTTTACTTCTAGAATAAAAAAATCAAGCTGCAATATAATTTCTCTATTACGTGCGCTGGCAATATTCAAATAGCCAACTTATTCTTTTAACTGTTATCATATGTATTTACTTTGTTAACAATTACAGTGTTATATGCTTTTACTTCCTATCTGACTTAATTTTCCGCTATCTGGAGAAGTGGGACATACCTTATCAACATGGGCATAACAATTAGCTGACAATACAAGAATGCAGTGAAGAAATTTGAATATCTAATATTTTTACCGAGGTGCATGGCCTTGAAGTTATAATTTCGAAATAGAACCCAATTCTGATAGGAATTGGAATTTTATGGTCAACAACTGTACCACTGGCGTATAAACTAGGATATTTAAATTCATAAGGAAGGAACATTGAACATATTTTCTACGCCTCTCCCTTTCGAATAAGTTCTTCAAACTTACGTGAAATAAGAAATTTTTGTTAGACCGTTCCTTCTGGAGAGGAATTGGTTTGAATATTTAAGGTGGAATCTGTACACTTTGAAAACAGGCTGACATTTTTATACCTATTTGATGTATTTACAGATGACCAAGGTGTTGAACAACAAACGAACGATGGCTACTCTTACGGTTAAAAACTGCATACCTCCAGGGTACCAGTTTTGCGTGACCAAGAATAAGAAGAGGAAATCCAAAGTAGCTAAGTTCACCAATAACACGAACGAAAGTCTTTTTTATTTTGGTTGAATATAATTTATTAAATATTTTTATTGCTGTTGTTTTACTTCCCGTCCCAGAAAAAAAATCAGTTCAGAAGTGAAAAAATACAGAAAAATTTAAAGAGGAAAAGACTGGAAATGATTCTTGTCTATCTGAGTAACTTTATTTGAGCCTCTAATTAAAGTCCCTCTCTTACCTTATTTATTCTTCTATTCTTTTATTAACAATGGTTGTTTTTTGAGTTTCCAAACCTGACAGGCTTGCGAACTAATATTGACAAGGTCCTATGTCCTAGAAGTGATGTTTGCGAGTCTGACAAATATACAGAGAGAAATAAAAAATACACTTCTCAATCAGCTTCTTCCTATGTATTTGCGTTTCTTACCATTTTTAGGTGTAGTCACCGATATTTTGGTTGGCCAAAAACTGCAAACCTTCACCTCTGCGTTGTTTTACCTGTATTTTGAAATATATTTATGTTGATTAAATGTAACAACGAGACGATCTTCTTGACTGTATGTTCCGTCAAAAGTATATCTATTTGGCTCATCTATTCTGACATCCTTATCAATAGGAGAATTTTGTCCAATTTTTTATAATAATACAATTAGACCAAGCCGCATAAGATTTCAAGAGCATTGTTCACCTGACCCGCAGTGGATTTACTCTCGAAATGTCGAAATAGCTAGTTAGATCTGAATGTACACGATAATCGTGGGTGATAACGCCTACAAAATGTTACCGGTTCAATGCCTTTTACACAATTTTTAATAAAGTCGAACAGGTATTTATAAGTTCATTCAGGATTATGTTGTCAGACTAAATCGGGCTGTTTAGTACCAAAAAAAAAGTCTGTTGACAAAACAATGTTTGATCTTTTAAGAAATGAAATGTAGGTATATTTCTTATGGACTTCAATCAACCTGTCAGGTATTCTAACTAGTAGAAGAAAGAATCGCTATGATGCTATGAGGAAGCATAAAATCAGTTTCATTTCAATATGTGAGTGTGGACGAAACAAAGTCTCAGTACTACAGGGTCTAAACGGTATGGTAGGCAGTATTGAAATGGATAATAGGGGGGTCAAAACAAGTCAAAAAGTTCATATGACCCATGGTTCAAGAGTCAATAGATTTTTGTCTAAATGGCTATGTAGTTTACAACTTTAAGTGCTTTATATCGACCACAATCACCACAACCTTACTAATTTTTATAATCTAATCTAAAACGTTTTTAAATTGGGTAATTAACAAATAAATGGCATTAAGTCTTTATAAGTTAAGCCAACATTTGTAGTCAGTAAGTAAGTTTCATTAAATTAAATATTTAAAACACACATGACCACAGTGCGTCGGTCGTTCATCACTCTTATCGAACCGGCAATAGATCGCAAACGGTAACAGTGGTTAGTTATCGTTTTGCATAGATAAATTACTTTATTGTTCTGTCGAGCAGAGCATCGGGAGCGTTGTTTTGTTTTTGTTCGCGTACGTCGTCGTGGTTATTTACAATGTTCTCGAATCAAGAGTTCACCGACATGTTTTAATTTAATTTTCGGTGAAGTTCGTCAGAATTCAAATCTTGCAGCTCAAATTTATCGCGACAGATTTCGCCATCGGGTACACCCAGAGAGGACATTTGTGCAAGTGTACCAAAGACTTCGAGATACAGGAAGTGTTCAGCCCACTAATATTCGCACTCGTGAAAGACAAGTTACTGTAGAGCAGGAGGAACAAATTTTAAATCAATGCAGATATCAGCACTCGGGAATTAGGCCGCCGCGTAGGACTAGAATCCTACGGGAAAATTTGCTTTATCCCTACCATGTACAACAAGTACAGGCCTTGTTACCAGAAGACTATCCTCGCAGACTAACATTCTGTCAGTGGTTTTTGAACAAAAATATTGAAAATCCGGATTTTTTTAAAAACATTCTAGAGACGGACGAATGTACTTTTACGCGAGACGGGATATTAAATTTTCATAATACTCACACGTGGGCTCAAGAAAATCCTCATACCATTCGCGAAGGTCATTTCCAACAACGTTTTAAAATAAATATTTGGGCGGATATTCTTGACGATCAGGTAATTGGCCCTTTCGAGTTACCCCCAAAGTTGTCAGGAGAAGGATACCTTAGCTTTTTAGCCAAGAACCTACCAGAAGTTTTGGAACAGACCTTAGGCAACATGCCATTGCAACGGAGACAGAATTTGTGGTTTCTTCATGACGGGGCACCACCACACATTTTTAGAGACGTCATTCAGTATTTGAATGAACATTATCCAAATCGCTGGATCGGTCGAAATGCTCCTTATCCTCGAAAATGGCCAGCAAGATCTCCTGACCTCAATCTGATGGATTTCTGGTATTGGGAAGAACTTAAAGGGATGGTTTATGGGGCTGGTCCAATAAGAATTGAAGCACAACTTCGCGAAAAAAAATTAATGCGGCTGAAATAATAAATGGACAAGTTCGAGGACCTAGAGTAAGAAGAAACTGGGTTCGTCGTAATCCAGCTTGTGTGGAAAGTGAAGGACAGCATTTTGAACACCTTCTTTAAATTTAAAAAAAGTGCAGTGTGGGTTTTAGAAAGAAAAACAATGTATGTATCAAAATTGTGTTCCCTATTTATAAGTGCATTTTTTTAGTACGTTCGATAAACTTTCACACACCAGGTGAAGCGTAGAGACAGTTAGTGGTAAGTCCGTTTTTTTAATTGTTTGCATTTTACGAATACATTATCAAATAATGAAATAATACCTAAGAGTCAAAAATAACAAACTCTATCTTTAATTACACTGCGTTCCGTTGTAATTTGCGTCAGGCAATGCGGCGTTGTCAGATTTTATTTTACTTTAAAGTCGCTTTTCTCTAAAAAAATGCCGTTTTGACCCCCATGTTATATGAACCTTTTTGCTTCTTTTAAGCCCCTCTATCACCCATTTAAATAATGATTATCATAACGTTTACACCCTGTATATCTCTTATACAGGGTGACTTTGAAGTTGAGTCATTAATTTTCAGATAATGATTGTAGAAGGAAGATAAACCAGAATATGTGTGTAAAAATAAAAAAAAATTAAAAAAAATTTTTACCTTGTTTTATAAAGTATCCTCCCGACAAGTATTTCAGTGCGGACCTGTATTTGATCGTGAGGTCCCCTGTGAGGTCTTAAGTCACCTGATTCACGAGCCCGTTGTACTACATTAACAAAGGCACGAGGGGTTGGTTGCACTCGATTGGGAAACCGATCCGCATAAACATGTGCCATTTTTTATTTCGTTTGAGCCACGCAACAGACACTATTCACACGCTAACCGACAGACACTGAGTGTATGTATAACTGAACTGAATAAAATACTTAATTGCAAAAACGTTCCAAATTCTTTCGCTTTTTTGTTTCCGATGCGATGAACTGGTAAGGCGGATTATATCCGTTGTTGCCAAACACGAGTACATGATATTATTATTGAGACAGGGCGGTACTCAAACTTCCAAAGGGCTATAACTTTGTTACTTTAATTTTACCAGAAAAATGGTAAAGGAAAAAAACATTTCTTTTGATCAGATCTACTCACTGTTAAAATAAATGACTCAACTTCGAAGTCACCCTGTATAAAATGAGATCCACGCACACATTCGGTTTTAATGGGTGGCCAAGCTTTGTCAGGAGATTCACTAGGGACATTACTTGGCACAAACACATCTGGACAATCTCAGCAGCACCTAGGAGGGAGCTGGTATATATAAAAAATATACCAGGCCTAACGCATAATAATAATAATGTTTATTGGAAGATTGATGCGTAATAGAATAAAAATTTTACTACAATACAATACAAAAAAATATTAGCCCAAAACGCTGAGGATTGATAAGCCATCTTTCACCCTACCTTGGGTAGCTAATGTAGATACAATCCGAGTTTACAAAGAGTGAGAAAAACATATGCACCGTATACAAGAACTTATCGCTATAAAACTATAATACAAAATTTCAAAGGATTATTATAGTGGTAACAATTGATCTACTTGTAGCTTCATCAAATTGTAACTGTAGCAATTCTTTTTTAAATTCTTTTTCGAAACTATGAATGTCGCAGTATTGTAGCAATAATCGTAACGCAAGAATATATGATGAGATTTTTTCTCTAAAGCGTTAAAAAAATCATTTGGTGATTTATATTTCAAAACCTTGAATAATAAAGCGGCATGAGCGACATTTTTATTTCAAAACGTTTGCTGATCTCATTGAAACAAAACATGAAACAGTTTATTTGCAGAACTTGAATCTATAAAAAAATCTATAATTGGCAGTGCCGAATTTTGACACAATTACGTGTTTTATTATGCAAATTCTTCCAAGTAGTGGGTACACTATTTTCGGAATGAAAAATCAATAAGTCCATTAATATAAAATGCCCGGAGCTATAAACACTTGCTTCTGTGACCATCAAAAACATATTCAATGTTGTATTTATACGCATGATCTCATCTAACATAAATTTCAGAAAAAGCGTTGAATTCGCTTTCATAGTCCTCATTCCTATGCACGCAGGCAGTTGGAGCGATGATAGGGTGTAGTTCTAGTGGAAATCTTTGAGAGCAAAATATGAAACGGATTATAGACACGGTAAGTAAATCAGTTTTCAATATTTTATTTACGTTAGTAATGATAAAGCAAGATCGGGGTGCAATCCTTCAAGACAAACCCAAGTTGATGGATCGTTACGTATATGGAAAGCCACTGGGAATATTCTCCGGAACACTTGCATTATCATATTATTAGATACAACTTTTTTTTTCGAGCGATTCCGTCAACAATGCATAATTTATCGAAATTCGTACTAGGCGAGTGTAAATGTTTAGCTGTTTAAGCCGGATATACAAGTGACTAACAATATTTTATACTATAGGTGATGTTCTCTTTTTTTATAATGGCAACTTTCTTTTACATCCCACGCCTAGTGGCGAGGAATTATGAAAATCGCAAAAAGTCTCGAAAATGATGTTTTCACTGGTGCTCCCACGGGGGGGGGGGATAAA